CCGCTTTTGTTTGTCCCTCTACCAGATCAACTGCACTTGCGCCCGATGGCCCAGCCCCCGCCCCCACTAGGCCAGGCTAGAGGCCACAGTAACGTTTACTGCTATTTGGAATTTAGTAGATTGCTTGAATTGCTCCACTGTTGAGGCATAAAAGCCGGGATAAGTCGCTCTTTCTGACGCTATCACCCTGGCCAGCTCTGTTGCCTTGCTCTTCTCCTCTTCTAGAGCCTTCGCCTCTGCACCAAGTGCCCTCTCTAACTCAGCAACTTGCGCGTCAGCCTCTTCCTCCTCCTTTAGAGGTGACTCACATAGCTCTTCGTTATTGATCAGAGCCTCCTTTAGCCTTTCATTAGCCAGGTTGCAGGCCTGCCGGGCATCTAACACTTTCTGTCACCCACTCGCCATCTCAGACTCCAACGACTCCACCATTTGGCGAGCGCCCTCCAGCTCACGCTTTGCCTCGCCTACCTGAGCCTTCACATCCACCAGTTCAGCCATTATTTCTGATTAGTTCATTTTCGCTCGATCGGCTACATGTCCCTGCACCAAGGCTAGCATTTCCATCCTTTTTAAACGTCGCTCATTCACCAGCCCCTTGGCACAGGCACTTCGCGCCGCCTTTTGCCACTTGACACTCTTCATTCTGGCCACTTCAAGCTCAGCGTGCGCCTTCAATAACTGGCCTTTAGTGGCTCAATCTCCATCTTCGCCATCAATCCTTTGCCCAGTAGAGCGGCTGCCAAGGTCAGCGACTCCATTTGGGCTGAGCATAATGCCCTCATAAGGTTGGCCTCCCTAAATCGAGACACGTCCCTGACAGCCGCATCATCTATAATGCTTAACTGGCGTTCAGTAGCGGCTCTGGTGTCACGAAAGATGCTGGTTGGCTCATTTCAGGTAGTGAGTGCCCAACTACTGCACTTAGATGGCAAGCAGCGGTGCTCACTACACTGAAAGCGGAGCTCTCCTCCACTCTACTTGTACTCACTGAGGGTTGGGCGCTCCTTCTCCACCCACTACTTTATCACTTGTTTCTTTCGCCGCAGGCAGGCCAATCATTTGCTTCTCTGTTTTCCCCTCCTTCACCTTAGCCAGGTCCATAAACTCTGCGATGGGGGGGTTGGCTTCGCTTTCCTCAGCTATCATTGTTGGCCTTGCCTACACTATCGCCACCTTCCATGTTCGATCATCCCTTGGCACAAGATTGCCCGCTTCCCCTTCCTTCCCTTCCTCCCCTCTTGGCCACACTTCTCTTTTTCTTCTTCGCTTGCTCTATCCAAGCTCTACTCCTCTCCTTGATCGGATCAATCGATGCCTTCACCGGCACAATAGTTTCTAAGTCCCACTCCCCTAACACTTTGGGTCGTTGGCGGGCGACCATGTGCACGTATGGCTTGGGAGCTAGGCCCAGCTCCTGTTCCTTTAGATTCTTTGCCGCAACAAGCGCTCGACAGTCATCAGCCTCTTGGGTCGCTTTCCTCGCCTTAACCTCCTCTGAGGTGGGGTCCTCCCTACCAGTTTAGGGCCTAAACTGGTGGTGAAGAGGGCAGAGGGCTTAACTAGATCATCCTACTTGAGCCCTCTTTCTCTCACCATTGCTTCACTTCCATCACTTTTCTCTCCTTCGCTACGCTTAACTTCAGCTCTACTAACCTGGTGGGGATTTTCTACATCGTTCTCGCCCTTCTCCTACCATTTTTTGAAACAAAAAACCACTTCGTCCTCCACCCCCTAACGGAGGAAAGGAGCCCAACCACCAATCCTCTGCTTGGCACCACTTGTAGGGATACCCAGGTCTCCTGTTGGCCCGACGCCTTGTAGCATGAGAAGAACTTGTCGACTGTCATGTGTCGCCCTCCGGTTGCCTATGGCCAAGAGATTGCATTGGCCATTAGTATCTTCCATGCGTTTGGCACCAACTGCCTCGACGCCACCTCCAGCCAGTTTAGCAATTCCACAACCAGTTGGGGAAGCAATAACCTCAACCCTCCAAACAATGCCTCTTCGTAGAGGGTGAATTCCATAGGTCTGGAATCCGACGCCCTTTCCCCCACCATTGGAGCCCTTAACTCCACGTTCTTGGTGATCTGATACTTGCTTCGGATTCTCTCCAGGTCCTCTATCATCAACGTCGACTTGTCCGCCTTCATATGCCAGTGGTTAGGGGCTACTTGACTAATCGGTTGCGCGGTCGAGATCATTGTCGATGGTATCAGGCGAGGAGGCCTTCCGGTGCCTTTCTCTACCATCTTCTCCACCTTGTATTTCTTCACCAAAGCAATCCCATCATTATCTCCTAGTGCGTCAGTTCTTAGGACGGGAGTTTTCTCTCGGGCCATCTCTTTCAAGTTTCTAGTGATTGCTTCAATTGTGGGAGTCAAGATCTTTGAAATGTGGAAGATAGGAGAATCCCATGATACGAAAGAGCTCAAATCTGGAATGCGTTGATTTTTTGCAACCAGATATGTGAAACGAACAAATGCAAAAGCCCACGGTTTCCCTGTATTCTAAGGATCAAAATTCAAAATCGCCAGTTTGAAAATTTGCCCAAAATGGGAAGGGAAAACGAACAACACATGAATTAATACATTAGCCCTTTCGTATTCACGCGCCATTGCAAATTAATACCCCTTGCCTTTCCGAATTCAAGCACTATCACCACTTTTTGTCCTCGGAATCATTTGAAATTGACATCAATGGCCTTAATTGATCCACGTGGACAGACGGAGTTGTTCCATTGTCTGCCTTCCGTCATGTCGCCACGTGCCTTCTTGCTCCTCGAGCCCCTCGCCCACCGACACATTTAACCTTTCGCTCCCTGGTCGGCGTCGTCACTCGGTCAGCCTCAGTCGGTCTTCTTGACAGTCAGCCACCTCGCCAGTTGGACACCCTCGGTCAGTCGCCTTGACGGTCAGCCACCTCGCTGGTCAAACACTGTCAGTCGGCCATCTCACCCGTCACCCACTCCACTAGTTGGATGTCTTTGCTCGACCGTTTTGCTCGGTCGATCGTGCCCCTTGTCCTATGACTTGGAGGACTATTTCCACCTTTATTATTCCCTTCGCTGGACTAAAGTTGCACTTGGGATTGGGGGACTATTGATGGACACAACACAAAGAGGGTTGTCTTGGGTTACCCAAGCAGTCACTCACCTGAAGCCTGTCAAGACAGGCCTAACAGTGAGCCCAGTAAAGAACTCACAATGGTCAGACCCAGGTACCAACTAGCCATGTGTTAGGTAAGGAGTTGGCTACGTGGCAGACAAAGATTTTGGAGAGTTATTGAGCCTAGCGATGCATTAAATGAGACTGTCAAAACATTAAATGCAATAAGACCTCTTGCTCTGAGACGTGGGAAAACCACCATGGCTGACAACAAGCAAACGGCAGGCTTTCGGCCAACGGGACAGTATGAGTGGACAAGAAAATGACTAATGAACAATATAAGGAAACCTCTAGTTTACGTGGTTGGTAAGAAGAAATCTCTCTCTCTAGACTGTTATTCGATACCACTTAACTTAATTGTCAGAGAGTCCACGAGAAGGAACTACCTCATTTCGGAACCTTGCCATTGGACTCGTTGCGGGTGTGCCTGGGAAGACGACGACCTGTGGAGCGCTTGGATCAGTTCGACCCAATCCTACCCTGACCAAACTACATTATCAATAATAATAATAATAACTTCATTAAAAAATCAATTGATCACTCATACTCGCCTATCTGAAAGATTATGAAGTCATCATTGTCAAAAATAAAAATTAATTATTTGTTGTAACTATTGATATTTATGTGTTTTGAAATAAAAGAGTAAGGAAATTCTATTCATATAAAAAAATTTATAAGAATAATGTGACAATATCATTATTATAAATAGAAAAAATTACCCATAAATCCTATCTTGATAAAAGTTAAACCATTTAGTCCTTTAAGTTTTCTTGTACACCATTTAGTCCTAATTTATTACCTGATTTTTGGGATGTGATTTGATTACATTTGTTTTTACACCAATACCCTTTTCATGATTGTTTAACATTATTTCATTGATTAACATTATTTCATTATTATTGATTAACATTATTTCATTGTTCTCTTCTGCTCCTTCATGTTCTCTCTCCACCGGCGATGCAATCTCCATTTTCGAACTCAGATTCCGACAGCCGAAACCCCAAAGAGTTCGCCGGAATCTGACATCAACGCCGGTTGCATCCATGTTTTCTGAAAACCCGATCGAGATCATCGAAGATCCGACAGATCTGAGATAGATGCGGCGCTGATCTGATATACACAGAGGCGCCGAAGAAGACGTCGGAGTAGATCCATCCGCCATTGCAAAAATGATCCTCACCCATCCGCCATATTGATGATGGATCGGTGTGGATCTGCTCTGATGTTGACGATGTTGAGCATAGCGTTGATATCGCTGATGTTGATGATGGAACCAATGTTGATGATGTTGATCATGGCCCTGATGTTGATGATGTCTGATGTCGCTGATGTTGATCACGGCGTTGATTCGCTGATGTTGATCATGGAAATAATGTTGCTGATGTTGATCATGGAAATAATGTTGATGACGTTGATCATGGCCTGATGTTAATGATGTTGATCATGGAAATACATGTATAATGTTGATCATGGAAATACATGTATAATGTTGATGATGTTGATCTGTAATCCCTGGTTTTTCCATTTCAAGCTTTGGGTATAAGCGTAAATTACACATTGTGAAATCCCAGATTTGTCCTGACTATAACTTCCCACACGCGATGTAACACGATTAATTTGGTCATTAACATTGGGGTAGGACCTAATGGTTCATAAGAAAATTAATAGGACCAAATGGGCCACAAGATACAAATTTGGGATTTATTGGTGCATTTCCCTTATAAATAAATGTATCTTCAATAGTGTTTTGTTTTAGAGTAAATAGTCCATAATGAATCACATCATTATATAATAATTTTTTTATTTATATAGCGTTACTCAAAAGAATATTGTAGGTTTGGTACTCGGAACATACAATAATATCATATGTTTGAACAATGAGTTTAAACTTGGGGTTTTAGGTTACAGTAAAATAAATCGCACAACAGGCCCATGATATGTATGGAATTTCACAATTAACATGATGATTTACAAAATTTGTATACTAATACAACATTATCTTCACATTTGTAATTAAGACGGCATGGCCGTGCAAGCGAGAGGTCGGCCTCACGCACGTCTGTATTCATCGCCACAGTCCCCAATTATTCTCAGCAGATCTTTCCCTTTCTTCTGCACTTCTTGGATGCTGCTTACATCGTCTTCATCAAGAACAAGCGAAAACACAGCACTCGATTCTTTGATATGTTCCGACAAGCCAAGCCTGACACCTACCATTGATCCTGCCACTGCTGGCTGCAATTCAATTCCCACAAAATCATTAATCAAAATTAGGTAGAAAACTGAATATTCAAACTCAAAAAGGTCAACCAGCGTTCGATTTAGGAGGGGAAATGAATTTACCTGGTCTAGAACATATTTCACAGCAACTGCTGGAATTGAAACCCCGTGTTTCAAAGCTACTTTTTTAAGGGTTTGAAGCAAAGTTTGGAAGAGACTCCATCCTCCCCAAGCATCAACCATCTACCAACCAGAGTCAATTTTACAAAATGTATCACTAGTCACTACAAATAAGAAAAATCACGTTTTCTATGACTCTTCCCTTGCTTATTAAAAGCACCGTGCTTGAAATTTTCATCTAGAAATGCTTCATTAAATAATAAATCAAATAAAATCCAAGATGCTGCAAATTATTCAAGCATGCTGTGATTCTCTGCAGCTTAAGCCTCTCTTTTTCTTGACAGGAAATGCTTTAACCATACACCCTCTTTTTCTTTTTCTTTTTTTTCTTTTTTTTTTTTTTCCTTGTATATAAATCCTTGTAGGACCATATTCTTAAAACTGACTTCCTGATTTTCTCATGCACAAGTCCCATAAAATTCCTTTATTTACAAAATAAAATAATTTCCTGCTCATCACTCTGGCATCATAAATTCATTATTGTGTATGGGAATACATACCCTTTTGTACTTCTGAAGGGATGGAGTGTTTAATGGAGGACCAGCAAAAGGAATAGTTAAGTTTGTG